AAATTAAGTTGTCAGAACAGATTAAGTAACTTTATCTTTCTTTTTTTTAGTATCTTTTCTTAATATAATAATTCTTATAGTTAAAACTAATAATTATTTAGCTTGAATTTCTAAAAGTAATATATTTAAAATAGTTAAGTTATTAAGTTCAGTTATAATTAAATTTTTATTAATAATAGTTTATAATTTATCCAATTTAATTCTTTTTTTATTATTAATTAGATAATTATGAGTAATAAGTAAAATTAAGTTAATTTTATTAATTTGTTAAACAGAAGTTAATACTTATAATATAATAATTAATAATTATATTTGAGATAGAAAATTGATTAAATTATTATTATTAATATTTATTAGTACTAATTTGAAAGAAAAAGAGTTATTTCTTGCTGAATTATTATTAATATTATCTAATTAAATATTTTAATTGTTCCAATTTGACTAGTATTATAGTATATATTATTCATTATATTTTTATTAAACAAATAATTAGTTTATTTTTATTAATTATAATTTATCTATATTATATTAGATTATATTTATATATATTTTTATTGGATATTTATTATTTATTTATATATTATATATTAATAAAAATATTAAATTTTTGATATTTTGAACTATTAATATTTTGAATTATAAAAATTTTTATAATAATTAATTATATATATAAATAACATTTTGCTTAATAATAAATTAGTAAGAAATTTTTATAATAATTAATTATATATAATTAAATTTCTTTATAGTTACATCTGTTTATAGTTATATATCTTTATAGTTATTTTATTTTGCTTTCCTATTTATATATAATATAGTAAAAAAAATCACTCTATAATCACATCTTTTCTATAGTCATATCTTTTCTATAGTCATCAAATTTTGCTTTTTTGAAGAGGTGATTATAGAGTGATTTGATATATATAAATAGCACTTTACTTAATAACAAATTAATAAGAAAAATTAAGATAAAAATTGGAAAATAACCAGTTTAATTATCAATTATCTTATAATTTCTCTTTAATTTAGATATAATTTTGATTATAGACTTGTAATAGTCTAGTAATATTATTATTCTTGTATTATAATCTATGCAAAGTGTTAATTGAGACAACAATAGTGAAAATTATAGTAATAAAGAAAATTTGTTAATAAAACTATCTTGAACTTATTATAATTATAATGTATAATTTTCTTAATAATAACTTAACTTAATTTATTAACTCTTTTTATAACTATAAGAAGAGATCTATTTAAAGATCTTTTGCTATAAAAATACTATTAAAAAACTAGAATAATACTAGTTTCTAATAATATTTTGTTGATAAAAGCTGAAAATATATAATTTATTGCAATTTCTTAATAGATATTCAATTTCATTATAGTTATAACAAATAGATAACTAATAATTATTATCATAAAAATAGTTCTAATTATTACTACTTGATTAAAAAGTAGATTTTTTTAGTACTTTTAGAGTTTTTAATTTAATGAAATATTATTGTAAGCTAAATAAAATTAGATTTTAAATTTGATAATAAGTGATAGTTAACTTTTTTGAGTTAGTTTTTTTAATTATTTTAGTTATATTAATAATATTTAATAAAATCTGATTAGTATTTATTCTAATTTACTTGTATATTTCTGGTTTCAAATCTTATTTGTATATATTAATTTTGTAATTATTAGTAGAATTTATTTTTTTTAAGAAAATATTAAACTAATTTGTATATTTATTAAAGCTTTTAGTATTTCATGTTCATTTTGCTATTATTTGATTTACAAATAATGCAAAATTTTAATATTTATTATTTCTATTATTTGTTTAAATAATTAATACAAGAATATTATTAATAACTTTTTAATTCAATTATGTTATATTATATCTTTCAAATATTTATATATAGTTTGAATTTTATAAGTATTAATAATTTTATTGATAGTTATAATAACTTTATCTTTGAATTTGTGAATTGAAATATGATTTTTTATTTTAATTTAATAGTAAAAAATTAATAAGAATATTTAACTTATTGAGAACATTTTGTATAATAATTATTTTATTATTATTTAATTCTTTAGATTTTCTTTAGTATTAGTTTAAATAATTAATTGCTCTTAAAAATTATTATCTTGTTGTTCTTTTAAAAATTCTTTTTATATTTCTTTAATAATTATTTGTTAATCTTTTATTATTTTAATATTACTAGTTGTTTCAAAATAAAAGTTATTAGATAAATTAAAATTTTCTTTGAATTTTAGATTAAGTAAGTCTTTAAGAATTATTTTGATTAATAATAAGTGATTAATAATATATTTTAGTAAATTAGATTACTTATTTTCATAGTTTTTCAATTTTAATATAATCAAATTTCTCTATAGTTATTATTTTTAGAAAAGCAAAATTTGATAATTATAGAGAAAATATACTTATAAAAAAATATAAATATAGAGAGAATATAACTATAGAGAGAATATAACTATAGAGAGAATGTAATTATAGAAAGAATATAACTATAGAGAGAATATAACTATAGAAAGAATATAACTATAAAGAGATTTTTATTATATATATATATATTAATATAAAAGTAAAACAGAATGACTATAAAGAAATATGATTATAAATAAATATAACTATAAAAAGATTTAATTATAGTATTAAGATATGCTTTAAAAATAACTTTAAATAATTATCCAGTAGTAAATAATTCAAATATTGTATTTCATTTTAAATTTAGATAAGAAATTGACTAGGAGTACAATTATTATATCAAAGAGTAGATAACAAATATAATAAAAGTATTATTGAATTATTTGAAATATTATTTCTTGATATTAACTTTTTTTAATTAAGTAATAAAGTATAAATTAATAGATTCTTTAATAAAAATTATTTATAAAAAGAATTTAAACTCTGTGAAATATTTTTGAAATTTACAGTAAGCGCCAAAATATTATAAATTATTTATTAATTATTAAATTAGCTTACAAATTTGAAACTTATTGAAAAAAGAAAATTAAATAATAAATAAACTATTAAAAGAAAAAGAGATATTTAAGTTCTATACCAATTTTACTAAAATTATAATAATTCAAAAATATAATAATAAAATAGAAAAGTTATAACAAGAAAGAAAGAAATATAAAAAATAAAATAATAATTAATAAAGAGAGTTTGAAATATTATTCTTTAGAATTCTGCAATATATCACCATAACAGTAAATTACAAAATTATATTTTTATTATAAGCAGAATTTTGAAATAATAAAAATTTTGTGTGATCTAGGAACTCTTAAATTGACAATATATTTCATGTTAAAAATTCGATCAATTTCTTAATTAAGAAATAAAGCCAAAATTTAGAAAAGAACTTTCTTGATAATATTACTGGTTTTACTTCTTAATTAAAAAGTTGATAGAATTTTTAATATGAAACATATTGTCGATTTAAGAGTTCCTATACCATATGGCTTTATTTTCTTTGTAAATATAAATAAAAAAGTATAAAATGTTTATCTTCATGAAATATTGTGTTAATCAAATGCATAAACAGTAAATTTGATACATATCGCATTGTGCTTGACATTCACTAAGGTGACGTCATTTGGAACATCAATAGTAAACTAGTTCTGGCAGTAAAATTTACAGGTCCCGTGATCTCCCCGACCATCCGATATCCCCGCAAACCAATTATTAGAAAAGTGGTAGCAATTGTATCTTAAAGCTTTGCCTATGAAACTATCTTTTGTGCATTAATAAAAAATGTTCCTTGCAAAATTTTATTATATTTCACATTCTCGTTTGCTATATGATAACCCTAACCCTAACCCTAACCGAAATTCTATTTAATATTATACATTATAATTTTAAGGGCCACCAGCAGCACCTGATCTAACACTTTTTTCGCCGTGGTTAAGGTACTTTGTCGAAATGCGCAAAATCCAAGTTATCATTAAGGAGTAACTCCTCGAATGCAATCAAAAATGACACCTTGCCACTTTGGTACGGTACATCCCTCACTGTGTTAAAGATTTCTCGTTCGTGTATGGGAAGTGCGAGCCTGCCACTGTAGCGGAATAACAGTCCTTCGGTTGAATAATAGATCTGAGTTTTCTTTTTTTTTGCTCAGTGCGTAAGACATTATAGGAACAGACGAATCAACAAAAAGAAATTAACGAAATAAGTACTGCAACAACGGCTATCAAAAAGTAAAACCATGTCGCGTTGACTAAATTTATCCCGACTCGCTTACCGGTGGCAACGCGTGGTTTTACGATAACGTGAATGTGTTTTTTAGGCGGTGTAAGCAGGAAGAAAGAAAACACAAGATTGAATATTCGATATTATCAGCAAATATGACGAGAATGAAGTAACGGCTCAAAAGTTAAACCACATTATTTTATCTTTCTGTGCGTGAGAACATACCAGGATTTAATAACCTCCTCAAGTAGTTAAGCCAATCTTTATCGTCTGGAATGTATTTGAGGGATAATCTACATCAGCTAACTTATTATTATTATTATTCTTCTTCCATGTACATGTAGTAAGTTTTGTGCAAAAAATAGTTTCACTGGTTGTCCGAAAAAAGAAAATTTATTTGAGATTTGAGTATAACGACAAGAGAAATCGATTAAACTGATTCGTGATTTGATTTTCGATCCCTGGTAAATTAATAATTGTTTAGTTAGAACCGGAGAATTTTTAATGTTAAGATATTATTTCCTACAATCACGCTTCTACTGATATATATATTCGGAAATTTAAGAGCATGATTTCAAGGAATAGATTGTATTTTCAGAATATGCTTTTAGTACATCATCAAGTGGAATTCCTGTTCTTTGACATAATCGCATAGCAAACAATAAAAATAAGCATTACATACTCACATTTATATACATGTACGTATATGCTAAAATTAAGCACCCCCGAAATTGTAATAGATTTTACTAAATTTATATAAAGGATTATTGTAATTACAAATAAAAGAAAGTTTTAACTACTCAATATCATCGATATCATCAATACTAGCATCATCATAACTAACATTTTCTTTATCAGAATTCTCTGCTATCATCATTTAAATCATCCGATGTATCCGATATATCCGATATATGACAATTTTGAAAGAATTATAATTATTTCGTCAGAAATTTGCTTCCATGATCCCTCCAACAGTTTGACAAGCACCACTGGCCATCTATAAATACCACTCTTTACTAAGATTATCTTTAAATGGTTTGTGAATTGCTACAGCTAGAAGTTGACATAAACTGGTCAAGTCATCTGAAATGACTGCTAAGTCATAATCACATTCTTTAAACTTTTTTTTAACTGACTCCTCCAAATGCCCTTTAAAGGAATCACAGATCATTGTTATTCCTTTCGTTACTGAGATAATTAATATACCTCTTCATTAATTCAGAATTCATCCTGCTGTTTTCCTGAAACCAGATAAATACACCAGAAGGAATGCATTCTCTGCTTGCTAATCATTTTTCTTTAAATATGCAAACCGGAGGATATTTCATTCCATTTATTGGTATTTAAAGATAAGTTTAATTAATTTTTTGATACGCCTAACCATACAATTCTCCTACGATTCTTCTACAATTCTCCTAACATGATCTCTGCATAAACTCTGATTCATCTATCCACAAACTTTAAAACCTTTAAAGTTCTTACTTACAGTGCATGTTAAAACAAACATAAATCAGTTTTTTTATTATCTGTCGCATGGATATGATTGATTTTCTCACTCTTTTAACCGATAGTAAAGTTTCTGGCCATATTAAACCAAATAGAGGTCTCTTTCATATTGAGAATATTATGTAGCTCGAAGGATTTTTCAATTCTAAGATGAATAATAAATTGCCGAAATCTTTCCAATAATTTTTCAGTTTTTGCAAAGAGTTTTTGCGAAACTCTTGTACATCTTCATCAAGCCAGTTTATATCTTTTCACAGATAAAAACATTCAATGATCAGATGTTTTAAGACTCTCTGCTACCATTGCTATTGTTAGTGTTGTTGTTGATATTGCTGTCACTTTTGTTGATGTTGTTGATGCTGCTGTTATCACTATTGTTATTGCTGATACTACATTATCTTTCTTTAAAATATCTAGTATTTTATCTTTTGCAATTGCATAAGTTACTGCTAGACCTTGTTTTATTTGTCCAATAATCCAATTATACAGTTTTTTTCAGCTTCAACACAGAATAGACTTGCTTGCTATTTTGTTTTACTTCAATCCAGCCTGAATTTATCCATCTTTTAATCATACTAGCATCAAGTTCAAAATGATTTGCCATTTTATTTCTTCCCATATTCAATAACTTCTTTTTTGTTTAATGGAATAATTACGGTTACGCTTGACGACTTTTGACATTTGTGAAAAGTTAGATAGGTTTGGTTCGCGTGTAGTACACGCAGTAATATGTGCAGTTCGCATCATTTTGTTTCACAATATCACACAAAATTTCAATCATTGATAATTTATTTTAAAAAATAAGCACCTCTATCGTAAAAAAGGTGCTTATTGTCAGGAGTATACGGTAACTTTGAATGACTTATGAAATCGAGGGTGTTTTGAGCCAGAACGATATCACGTGAAATGGCAATTTGCCAAGCCAAATTCCTTCGTAACTTGGTATTCATGGGAGGTGAATTTTCTATGATATATTTAACCTCACTTCTAGTTAAGCCCAAAAAACTAGACGCAATAAACTATTTAACCAGCCAAATTTTATCTTCCCAGTGCTATTAAAAATATCGTAAATTTTTCAGGTTATATTTGCTCTTTTGCGTACCTAAGTAATATAAATCGAGAGAATACTAATGGACATTACTAAATTGAGTGTGATTCCAATATAATGATATAATATTTAAACTTTATGTTTATTTATTATTTGTTTACATCCTGTTTTTATAGTTGTCAAATTTAATGATTCGTAAGTGGCCGGATCTTTATGATGACCCACTGTATTATAGCCAAGGCTCAATTTAACGATTATGTGATTTAATGAAATCGCGAGTTAGCGACTCTTGTTCCAAGCTTCTAAGTATTACTAATATTAATGCTTTGTGTAATATCCATTTGCAAGCAGCAATTCGATCGGGCATACTATAAATAAGCTTTCGATAGTATTCAAGTGCAAGATCCTTCCAAGCCACTTTCACGTATTGTTCTAATTCTGTGAGAATACGGTGCAGTGGATCGCCGGTGAACAGCGACTTTCACTTCTGCCATAAATTTGCTATGGGTTCAAATCGGAACCTAAAATAACATCTTGATTCCAGAAGCTTCGCGAGCGGCTGTTGCAACCGTTGACATGTGTAGTGTTGCATTTTCCTCCTGAAAAATACCATCACCACACGGGAAAAACCTGTGTATAATAGGATCCTTTTCTATTTGAGTATCTAAAACTAAAAATAGTTACCACAAAATGCAAAAATAATTCTGGCCGGACCTCTTTGATGACCCATGTACTAATATTATGTCCCAAAGATGTTTATGGCCAAGTATTTTTATCCTGGGTGACGGGCCTATAGACTGTAATTGCCAAAATAAATACTATAACAGTGTGCAAGCTTCAGTGATTTATTTTTGTAGGCAATATCTTTCGCTCGTCGAAGCTTTTTCGAGAATTCAGTAGCTTTTTTATTATACCAAGATGAGCCCGTATTTTAGACAAACGGGACAGAGTCCCATAAAACGCGGCATCCCTCCTGGTAGTGCAATCTCCTTGTTATATACCCCGGATACCATTAATAGGTCAGATTTTTGGTGGAATGTATCGTATCCCTTGTAATTCTGGTTGAATTCTTGCAAATTCTGCGCAATCTTGCAAAAATTAAAAAATTGATACATATAATATAATGTACCCCCAAGGTACTCGATGCCGCGTTATAATGATTCTTCTCATAGAATGCTCAGTATCATACGACTTAGTCATCCAAATTCCGAATTCAAATGCGAAATCCTATACATAGTGATTGATTATCTTTGAAATAGATACGTATACGTATTGGCAACAAACGATCCGGCTATCGCCACATTTTTTTTAAGAGTCAATAATATAAATATAAGATCATTTAAAAGTGTATGATCTGGGTTAGCATTCATTCCGTTTATTCTTTTATATTTCGGAAAGGTTAAAAAATGACATGCCTTATTTAAATCCTCTCTAATAATAAATATATGTATATTCTGAATAAGTCACGTACAATAAGCTAAGTCACACCATCTAATCGAACTTTAAATCCGGCATCCTCAATACACCCGCCTTTTTTCTTTCCTTATCATTCTCAACAACAGAAATTCTATTCTTTACATGATCACGTAGCATTGTCAAAATTTCACTATTCCTCCATAATTCTATATTCTCATTGACGTCATCATCTTTATTACTACTAGGATTCAATCGTATAATACCAGAACGAATGACCTCAACTTGATCAACCATTTTTTTACCAGTAGCCAAATAATAAATATCCCAGTCAGGTATCGTCACCAACGACTCATATTCGTCTAACTGTTTGTCATTCAACGATGAAAGATGTGCAGATGCGAATGTCGATAATAATAAATCAGTTTCTAGGATTCCTCGTTTACGTGATTGGTATAAGAGTCGTGCAATTCGTTTTTGACGAGTTGAGATTGTGGTGTCATCGCTGGATGGTGAAGATAATAGAGATGAGTCATCATCAGAAGTTGTGGTATATTTGTGACGATGCAATCGAGTTGAAATTATGGATCTTATAATTGATTTGAAATGGTGACGATGTAATGGAGTCGAGACGATCGATCTTTGCGCAGTTGATTGGAAATTTAGTTTTATCATGGGCGAGGAAATTTTCGAGTAATTATTGAACATAAGAGACACCGAAATTTTCCACATCTCAATGATTTAAAAAATAAATCAACTAAAATCAGTGTTCAACATGTATTTGGTGCCATGGCAAAATCCTCCCTATTTAATAATATAGGGATTGATAAATTAACCCTAAATCTCTATGTGACCTTAATCATAACCCCAATTATTAATAAATAAGGGGCTGAACACGACATCATAGTGCCATGCAGGCATGAATTTACCAGCAAATTTTGTGAGATTTCGGGAAAATTTTTGCTTGTCGAAATGATATCATTACGTACTTAGAATTCCGGCTAAATTTATGCCTCAAATGACATGGTAATATTTCCAATTTTATAATCATTTAACACTTATTGTCATCGTTATGTTTGATCATTTACTGATTATCGTTATCGAATGAACGTATGATCGTGATCGTGATCGTGATCGTGATGGTTAAATAGACCTGTGCATTTTGTACAATGACAAATCAAGAGAGAAAACTTGTTTGAAAATGACGTAAACCTAAACACCTTTATTAGGTTCTATAACGATAAACAAACTAAAACGTTTTTTGACTTGATTTTTATGAATAACTCACGCTCAATGATTATTTCTCATAAAAACAATAGATAAATCCGTTTGTATAACAACGATAAGAAAATCAATAAAGGATTGTTCAGTGCATTAACATACGTATTGTACTCTGTTCTCTTTTGTATTCGTGCCGCAGCAGTAGTAAAATAGTTAATTAGACAGTGGTAGCATCTTAACGGGAAATTTTTAAATCAAATGTCGTCGCCGTCTTTGTCTTGTAGTGAAAAGGATATCCGGGTCGTAGTTGGCATTGGTAAGAAAGACTTTTAATTTACGATATCTCTGTGATATATGTTTACGTATTTGTATGTTTGCTAATTTTGGAGATGATTGGTTGATTAGACGTTGGCTCGACCTTTTCAGGTATGTATTGCACATGTAAAAAGAATTTTTTAATGCATGCTAATTAATAGAACTTTGACGCACAGGAATCGCTTTCGCCGAAACTGCCACACCAGAAAAAATAGAAACCAACAATGACTGGTACGTATTTCTTTCGATCAATAGATCAACACCTTTTTTTAGTAAAAATTCAGTTAATCGTATAAATTTATTCAATCAGGCCTGAGAGAAAGAATGAACCCAAAACCAATACAGCACTTCAATACGACGAGCAACTAAATCTTGTGAAATGGGGGTTCCCGGGACTGGCTGAAAAGATATCGAAAAAACATAAGCTGACTAAACCTGTTGAAATGATAAAGTTTCAATTGGTAAATGACAGTAATATAAATGACAGGATTGCGACTGAATATAAAATATCAGTTTCGCTGCCGCCAGGATTAGATAATGTCAGAGTAATTTCTGATTATTTACGCGAGCTTGGAAAGGTTTGTCATCCATCATATTTTATGATATATATTAAAATTCAATAAGTCTTTAATATTTTGGATATGATTTAACAAATAACAAAGGTATTAAAAAACGCGTTATCAACGAGGTGGCCGGAATTAAATTTCGAAGAGGATGTACTATTAGTTATGGCTGTTCCATCCGAATATAACGAGGAATTACTAGAGACTATGAGAAGGTGTGCATTTGAAGCCGGTCTGATTTCTTCAATTACTTCCGAAAATTTAGAATTCATACAAGACTGTAAGTACTTTTACTTGATAAATTTAATGTTATTATGTTTGGCTAAAATGTAATCGCTAAAGACTAATTCCTAATTAAAAAAACAGCGGAAGCTGCTGCAATCGCATGTCTTGAGATGAGCAAACAACAAAAGTTATTATCAGCTGGTGGTAAATATCGCGCATTACAGCATTCTCTTAAATTCATCAAACAAAAAACTAATCATCATAAAATACAGAATCATTCATGGTAGTAGATTGCGGTGGTATAACTACAAACCTGTGCATGGGAACACTCTTTACCAACGACAAACTGGGTGAAACAACTAGAACCACAACCGAATTTTGCGGATCAGCATTAATAGATTACGAATTCAAAAAATATCTCGGCCAAAAAATAGGCGAATCAGCTCTCAAAACACTCGAACAGAAGCATTACCCGCAACTACAATATTTAATTCAACATTTTAGTAAAGAAGTGAAACATCCATTTGATGGAAACAAGGAGACATGGCAAACACGCGAAATTGACCTTGAGGATATTTGTCCGGTGTCGATTCAATATATCGGCGAATACGAAAGAACAGAGTTGGAGAAATTTGATTGGCTGATAGAACTTGATTTTGAACTGGTCGAAAAGTTTTTTGAAAGTGCTGTTGAAAAGATAATTCGGGCGATTCAGGAGAAGCTTTCGGTTTTCTCTTCTACCCATGGTCAAAAGAAAATTTCGGCTATTTTCTTGGTTGGTGGATTCGCTGAGTCAAAGCATCTATTTATGAAAATAAGTAAAGAATTTAAGGATTCGGTCCGTATAATCTCTGTTCTTTCAAATCCGATCACAAGCGTCATGCGAGGAGCAGTGCTTTCTGGTAAATATGATATATCTTTCAATTCTTGATAAATTGAATTTAATCTTTAAATTGTAATATAGGATTAAAGGAAGATACCAGCCACACCCGAATATTAAAACGAACGTATGGCATTGAAATTTGTCGTGATTGGACTCCAAGCGATCCAATCAACCGAAAAGACGCACGCTCGTTAATTGATATATTTTCACCGATAGTTAAACGAGGCACTAAAGTTTCTATCGATCAAGAATTCAAATTCATTGGACAGCCTGCTTTTTCTCGTGCTAGCAGAATCGAAATTGGAATTTTTTCGACAGAATCTGACGATGCAAAGTATTGTGATGAGCCTGGAATGCAGTTTCTTGGGAAATTGGAAATTGTGAGTATTTACTTTACACTGAATAAACTATATTTCTTCATTTAAATTTATTTACAGTACACGTGGAAATGTTCGTATATAGGACCTTTGGGACGTGCATCTTGGTCTTGAACGAGACGTAGAGATTCTATTAAAGTTTGACAGATTAGAGACAGTAGTATCGGCAACGAGTCTTACTACTGGCGAAATCGTGAATACGAAATTCAAGTTACATGTTTAAAATCAGCTTTATATTTTTATTTCTTTTGTAAATTTGTAAATGTCTTTATATTTATTATTGTTCATGTATTAAATTTGTACAATTCTTATAATTAAATAATAATTTTATTGAAATAATAAGCTAGAATATTACAGATTGAGGTGTATCAGAAATCACCACATAGTCATCTTTATCACTCATACGCTCGCGTGTATGAACTTTAGCTTTACTATAAATCTGTCGACGACTATTATCCTTTTCATTAGTATTCGCACCAATCACAGGAAACGAACAAACTTCCACTTCTAAATGTTCCTCATCTTCACCCCCGCCTAATTCTGGTCCTTCCATCATGCTAGACTGAATCTCGCTACCAGCCTCAATCCACATATATTGAGCAGGTGGTTCTTGAGCAGGTAGACCAAAACAGAAAATACGTAATGTTTCATTGATAAGTTTTTCTGCCCGACGTTCTTGTTCTTGTTTTCGTGTTTCATTGGTGATTGTGCGATATTTATCGATTTCTTCGATTACTGTAGTCTTCAAGTTATCGAGAAATGGGTGATGATTTTGTGCTGTTGCGAATCCTCTATTTGATAATAGTCCGTAGATTTGTTGACGAAGATGAATAGGCGTTACTGCAGCAATATTATCTGTTCCATGTCGCGTTTCAACGAATCTATGAATGATGCTGATAATGTCTTTTGTTTTCTCGACTATATTTTTTTCGAGATTATTGTCTTCATCACCTTCGTTGTCATTGTTATTTGATTTTTGATTTTGAAAAAATTCAGTTGCCTCCTTTAGTATTTTATCTAATATATGTCTTTGCAAGACAGCACTCAACACTGATTTATTCTGTTGAGGATCATCACATTGACAATTATATTTTTTCACTAAATTCAAGGCATTCTCTCCATTAATTTTAATGTCTTTTCCTTTTAATTGGGAAAAATATTTTAGCGTGTGTTGTAATTCGGCAATATCCTTTATCAAATTGATCGAGCTATTGTTGTCATTATCGGCTAATCGAATATTCGTCGCTTTTCCAAGAGCAGATTGGTATTTCGTGGTTTCAGCTTTCAATAGTCGATTCTCATTAGATAAATCCTGGGCAAGTAAATCCGCATTACCAGCTTTTTGCATCCACGAATTTTTCTCCTTGATCAATTGCTGATTTTCTACGTGCGACTCACTTAGCCTCGATTTCAAGCTATGAATCTCGAGAGCAAGATCGTGATTTTCGGATGTGAGAAGAGGGATTTCATTTAGCCTCGATTTCAAGTCATGAATCTCGCGAACAAGATTGCGATTTTCGGATGTGAGATGAGTGATTTCACTTAGCCTCGATTTTAAGTCATGAATTTCGAGAACGAGATTGTGATTTTCGGATGAGAGTTGACCGATTTCTTGATTAAGGCTGTCATTTCGTGCCTGAAGTGTTCTTGAATTCTCGAGTATTCTTTGGTTTTCTTTTTCAAGGGATTTAACGGTTTCTGTCATGCCTTGCCATTGTAAGGCTTGTTCTAGTTTTTTGTTGCTTTTGTAGTCGGATATGCGTTGTTCTATTGATGGTGAGGAGATTATTCTTGAAGAAATCCGTTTATTATGAGAGCGAGGTGGTTGTAGTTTCCAATGTTCCCGTTGCTCTTCTATTGCTCTGCTATTCTGTTCATAAGTATTATTATACTCATGATCGTTACGCTCGTAAGCGTTATTATTATATGCAGAAGAGGATAATTGATGATAATTATACATGTCTGCATCCGCAGTAGTAGTAGCCGGTGAACTACGAATCAAGCTTGACGATCTTTGTTGTTGTCTATCGGGAGGGTTACGTGAAGTGGTTGAAATACGAGGCTGTGGATTAGTTCGAGGGTTCGCTATTCTGACTCGTATACCGGATCTCGGTCTCGGTCGAGCACTTCGACGTCTTTGGTTTTTGCTGTTCTGTTGATTTTTGCCATCATTAATATCTTCAGTAGCATAGTACGAAGTTTCGTTATATTCCATATTTTATTTTCAGGCTTGATACGAGAATATAATGATTTTTATTCTGTATTTTTGGTAAAAGAAAAAAAAGAATACGTATTATTTTGGTAAAAGAAGAAAGAATGCGAGTATATAAATACAATGTATTAACATACCGACCGATGCGTATGTTACCCTTATACGCATGCAATATGCATTAACGTTAAAAATGCATACTTAAAACGCCGAATCGTTCGACATTGTACTTTTTTGTGAATAGATTGGCGACAGTATTATCGTTATGAATGCCAATGCGTCTGGTTTTTTTTTATTCATATACATGTATCTTTATCGTTATGCACAATGATTCTCGATGGACCAATGTTTTGCGTTTATCTTAAATAATGATACACATAGACTATTTTTCTGTTTCACATTTCCGCGTGTATTGATTGAATTTAAAATACGTAGTGCTTCCATTTCATGTAATATATTTGATACCAACATGTACAGTATACACAAAATATCTTTATTGTTCGGCCTAGTTTCTTCTCTTCTTGCTTTGTATTTAATTCGAGAAATTTACTGTATAGACAGTTCGTTTGATTCATCGTGAATTATGCCGAAATCAGATATACGAGTGGTTGTTGGTATTGGTAAGCTTCGATTGTATTTTCTTTTTTGGGACTAATCTCGTTCGCTTGATGTTTTAATTGTTCCAATATTCTTAATAGATTTTGGCACAACTTATTCAGGTAAGAATGGATCGTTGAATCCTGATATTTGATGCTACAAAAACATGCTAACGCTAGTTAAACTTGATAAATAGGCTTTGCATTAGCAAGTGTCGCGAATCCAGACACCGTAGAAACTAATGAATCATGGCCAGGAATCCGAGGGCAATTGAAAACAAATACTGCACTTGCATACGATGAGGCATTGAATGTGGTTAAATGGGGAAATCCAGCCCTTTCTGAGGTACGTAATTAAACCCGAAAGCTAATAAATACGAAATAAAATAAAATATTTTCATTTTTCATATAGAAACCATCGAAGAAAAAATTGGCATCATCAGAGAAAAAGTTACACAAACCAGTAGAACTTTTCAAATTACATTTTTCAAATATTAAGAACAGCGAAAAACCGCCATTACTACCTGGACTTGATTATCAGAGTGCGGTGGCTGATTATTTACGTGAAATGGGAAAAGTAAGTAATAATAAATACTGGATGGGGGATAAGCTGGTATCGATAATGATTTCGATTATTATTTAAACAGTTGATAAGACAAACACTAGAAACAAGATGGCCAGGTATCGATTTCTTCAAACACGTGAGACTAGTGGTCACAGTGCCAGCAGAGTATAATGAGTATGCAAAAGGAGCGATGCGAACATGCATGTTTAAATCAGGGTTGTTGAAAACTTTGAACTCGGATCGATTGGAGTTTACAACTGAACGTACGTCTATTGTAAAATTCGTTGCTTTTGTTTACATCATGACAGATGACTGATTCTATTATTTAAAATAAGCTGAGGCTGCTGCCATATATTGTATGAGGTATTTTGAATTAATTATTTCCTATGTTGCCTCTTGCTTATCGACGAAATATTTAAATAAATTTTTTTTAGAGTACTCAAAGAATTCTCATTAAAACCGAATGGTGAGAATGAAAGCATGCTACTTAGAGTCATGAGCATTTTTTTTAACATATATATTAATTTGAATCACAATAAGATTCATTTATGATCGTTGATTGCGGTGGTGGAACCACGGACTTGACGATACGAAGACTTTTAGCAGGAGGCAGATTAGAAGAAACGACAGAAAATTCCGGAGAGTTCTGCGGTTCAACATTCATAGATCGCGAATTTCTAAAATATCTTGCACGGAAACTAGGAATGGGCGCAATAGCCAAACTAAAGGAAGATCATTACTCACAACTACAATACCTCCTGCAGGAATTTTGCTCGTGCGTGAAATTACGATTCGACGGAGATCGTGAAACGTTTCAAGCTCACGACTTGGATCTCGAGGATGCGTGTCCAATCATAAAGAAATATGTTGTCGGGGAAGCTGTGAAAACTATGGAAGATGCCGAATGGCTGATCGAATTAGATTTTGATACGGTGAAGGAGTTTTTTGACAAAGTAGTGGTGAAGATTTTGAGACTCATCAGGGATCAATTGATGAAAACGGAGAAGCCATGTTCGGCTCTTTTTCTGGTTGGTGGATTTGGTCAGTCGCCGTATCTTTTAAAGAGGGTGAGAGAAGAGTTCAACAGCATGGTTCCATTTATTGCTGTTCCTATCGAACCAATTGCCAGTACCGTGAGAGGAGCGGTTTATTATGGTATATTATTGAACTTGATTCTTATGGAATTTTTGATATGATCGAATTCGATCAACTTATTGTTCATTTTAGGACTTGATATGGATATTGTTCGAACTCGTGTACTCAAACGAACCTACGGAATTGACATCTCGAGAGACTGGAAAGAAGACGACCCAATCCAACGTCGTGTATCTGGCAACGTAATTGATGTGTTTCAACCATTGGCATTTCGTGGCTCTAAAGTCGATGTTGATCAAAAATTCACGTGTACGCTATATCCGTCATACCCGGAACAAAGAATAATTTCTTTTCCTATTTATACGACTGATCGTGATTCTGCCAAATATTGTGATGAAGATGGAATGAAACAGATTGGAAAATTGACCGCGGTGAGTTTCTTTTGTTATTCTTGATAATGTTAGCATTTCTGCGATCTAGAATTTTTTGATTATTGGATTTTTGTTTTTCCTTTGAAGGAACTTCCGGATGTTTATCTGGGTAAAAATCGACCAATTGAATTCAGTCTAACATTTGGCAAGATAGAAATTCGAGCGACTGCTCGTAATAGGACATCCGGGGAAGTTTATGAAACGAGTTTTGATTTGGAATATGTAGATTAGCGATCTTTATACTTGAACATTTTTATGAACGATTTTATTTTTGAATACAGTATGAGAATATCAATATTAATATAAACGATTACGTATTTGAATGGCTGGGTCCATTTTATCAATGAATCTAATTTATATTTACGCATAGCGATAGTGATAGCAAGAACAATATATATTTTTTGTCAACAATGAAAATACCTTACAAATACGTACATTTATATCGATATGCACTTAGACATCTTAAAAGTACGTAAATGTTTAACATAATAAAGAACAAATAACGATAAATCAATTATATTACAAGTATTCTTATTTTTCTATTTATATTTTGATTTTTCTATTTTTATCTTTCTATTTATACGTATTCTTATTTTTCTATTTATTCTTTATATCGATATTTCTATATTGAAGAATGAATAATTACAATAATAAATGCAATTTAGCATATGATTTAATATATCCAGAAGAAACTCTATATTCTAATGAAATAAATTTTTAATATCATAACTTAAAGGCTTAATTACTGTATACCGAAATATTAATTCAGATTACGTAAATGTACATGTACATTTATTAGCGATTACTACTACCGCTTGGCATTCCATTGTTTATATTGCACAAATTGAGAATTGATTGGTTTCTACATGTATCAGGTGATTTTTAATACATGTAGTGATCTGAATTTCATGAAAGAAATCGCAGAACACAAATTTTTGACAACGTTAAAGCGTAAATTATCTTAATACTCTGCGTGCATGATGTATGTAAAGAAAGACAACTAAATTTCACTTTCCAAATTGACTCAATTAATGGAAGCCTGGTAAGATGATTCATTGAGTTTTGCTGAAACCTCAAAATTTTTCATTTTCGACTATAGACGTGAAAACCAAACATTGTTTCTATTTTCCAGAATATTTATTATCTATGAATTTCTAAGAAGTAAATTTTTATTAAAAATAACTCTCTAAATATCTTTATATCGATTTATAAAATTATTGGTAATACTCGAATACTTAAAATATATGGAATAAATTTAATTACAATCAGACATAAAATTATCTATTCTGCCTGCTCTTGGGAAATACCAAATGATTTTCGTAGAACTTGATCAACTATTCGAAGAGATATTTTATTAAAGTTATTCATTAATTAAAACAAATTAAAAGTCGATAAAAACAATAAAGATACCTGTTGAGGACATTTTACTTTTATTTCGCTACTTTTGTGACTTGAGATTGATTCATCTCTCCTAAAACATATCGACCAATAAATGATTAATGAAAAAGCATGGAATATAAAAGAGATTATAATAGAAGTTCTTAAACAAATACCATTTGACATAAACAATCAAATCTTCCTCGTTACATGATGACGACGATTCATAATCAACAGTCACAATCTCTTGAATTACATTCTCCCAAATCCCGTCATCACTCGCAAATTCTTGAAAAGGAATTTGTTTATCGGTTCTCTTCTCTTTCTTTCTACTATTAATATCATCAGCATTATCTCCAAGATCACGTGTACGCTCGGTTTTTTTCTCTTTCTTTCTACTATTATTATCATCAGCATTATCTACAGAATCACGTGGACGCTTAAGTGTCGTGCTCGTCGTTCTCGTCGTTGTCATGGCATTAGCAGAAGATTCGCTGTTAGTGCGGGTAGGTTTTTGATAGTTGTTCGAGTTTTCGCTTACGGATTGTTCAATACGATCCCAATATTTAGTAACAATGTCTTTTTCGTTACAAATTCTAATAAAAAATATATCTTTCAGTTATTTTGGATATTTGGCTTTCATCTATAATCAATACATACAGACTACTGGCTGGCTCCCATTGATTTTTGTCTTCAGGTAATCCTTAAAAAATTATCATTATATTACTATCTATATTGCATAATGTCATCTCCTTTTGAAAGCATAAATCTTCATACCTTTGTACTTAACTAAATAAAAAATTTTTCCCTTTGTTTTTTTTAAAAAAAATACTTAATTAATAAATCAAATAAATTTTAATAATTAATAAATCCAAAAGAAATACCTGAGATTTCTTGTGGCTCACAATTTTCTCTATGTCATTTTTCTTACAAATATTTGAGTCAGATTCACATTTTAATTTGATATCGCTAGTCACGCTATTTTCTCGACTCTCCTCTTGTTGAATATTGATAGTTATGTTTGCTTCTCGATTCTCCTCTTGGTTCCTATGCAATAAAAAATTTGATTAATACGAGTTCGATTTTTTAATTGTAATTTTTTTTCACTTAATAAAAAACACATACATATTTAAAATTCTGCTTCTTTTGTATGTATAATGAAAAGATTGGTTTGGGATTTCTGTGTTTGAAATAAATAATAATTTAATTGATATAACGATAATTGGTAAAAAGTATGTATTAAGTAATGAAAATACAGAAAATCCATACTATTTAATAGGTCTATAAAATAATTTATCATATTCTTTATTAACGTGATTTTGAGTGATTTGTTTTCAATTTATGTATCAATTAATTACGGATAGCACCTCACAAAATTTAATTTATATCAATATAATTAATTTGAAGTACAAATTTGTAATATTGTGATACTACGCACGCTGTATCTGGCATGCAATAGGTGAAACTTACCTTTGTGCCAAATGCATACAGTAATGCGATGACAAGTTGTCAATGAATAATGCGCCGTTGTTTCGGCTTTCAAATGCATCTGTTGGATTTGCTTTTATTCCTTTTGCATAAACGAAACCTGATCGCTATCGTCATAGACAAGCTTAGTTTAGATTTTTTCATTACCTGGCCTGGCCTGGTGAAAATATGTGTGATTGCACACAATCTCTATTTCTTCGGCCAGAATTACGTATTTGTGTTAATGAGAAAATTCGATGAGATACATCAATTGTTGTGGTTGTTGACTTGAAATGAATAAGAATAAAGTCACTCATATTTTTGTCAAAATAAGTTTCGAGTTATATCTCAATATAAATGCAAGATTAATTATCAACTATCAAAGTGGATTACTTACTGGACTGTATCGGTATATTGATATCGATATTTGGATTAGTTGACTCTCAATAAACCGAGATTAAAACCTCGATAAACCGAAGTTGGTTCCAGGAACAGATATAATAAATTCCCAACATTTCGGTTTTTCGAGAGTTAACTGTATTTTGAATAATAAATAAATTGAATTCTCAATAAATAATTAGGAACTGTTAATAGTGCGAACAATAATGTCATTGATAAATACAGTGTATTTTGTATAAAACACGTAATACAGCAAACGTTAGAAATTCGTGTTATAATTGCGATTACAAAATAAACACATCTACAGAGTATTTAAGTTAGCACTAACAGTCAATTCAGATAGACATTGCTGGAAAATACTAGTTAGCAAACCTGTATCTCAAGATAGCTCCATTCAGCAAAGTCTGAAGAAGAATCCCACATATCTATGCAGAGTCCGCACCCTCCACATTTGAACATCACAAATTCGAATGCGTCAGTTACATATCTTGCTCGTATATGCTCTCCGAGCTCCTTAGCCTCTTCCTCAAACTCTTCCGTCTTCGGGCACAGTTTTTTTCCGAAATGAGCCTCATGTCATCATTTTTCGCACCATTCTGCTATTGATCTTGCAAGGCCCATCTGGCCAACGTTGAAAGAAGAGAGATTATGACAACATCAAAGATGCGAATGTTATGTCTTACGGTGATACTAATTAGCAAGGTTGCGAATTCGTTGTCAAATGCGGGCTTGAGCTCGATGCATGCTGTTACGTCTTGGGTAGTAGGTCATCGATTGAGACAGAGACGAATGAATTTTTGGGCATCTTGATTGCCAATGCAGTCAGAGTCAATTATAGTGGATAAACTGATGTAAGAGAATAAATACCTAAAAATAAAGCAGTAGAATAATAATTTAGCTTAACCCACCAAGCACGTACGAACGCCTGAATATGTGGAACAAATATTGAGATCACTACTTGGTTCTATTGAGGGGCTACTTTTTCCTTCTCGTAAACCGGAGCTGTTGTTAATTTGTCCCTCTAAGTTAGACCAGTTGAAAAGATTTTTAAGCGATGATAGCGGCGTGGAAATGACGGGATAAATTTGCAAAGATCATAACAGTTTCGTTAGCAAATTCTATGGCGTCTTACGCGAGTCAGTGGCGTGGCTTAAACCTCTTGGCTCCCCTGCTGAACAGGATATCGTTTCTTTGTTTCTTGCTTTGTCCAACACCATATGATTGGCATATTATGTTGATGACGTAATTATGAAATGAAATTATATTCTAATTTATTTATTGGCTAAAAATAAGTAATTTGTTTGCAAACATAGAGAATACAAGAGGGTTATGTCAAAATTATGTCATTGTGGATAGTTTATAAGTTACAGAATCTTCTCTATTAAATCGACAAACCCTCAAAATCTTACATCTAATACTTTGATCACATATATGTTTCAGAATCAATTAAAAGTAGAGTATTTTAAAAGAAATACTCGCTGGTTTATACTTGATTTTTTATATATAAAGTTATTTGATTAGTAATTTACAATTGATAATTATGATTATTATATTATTTCACTTTGAAATTTAATATTGCAAATCTTTATGCTATTCTTATAATCTCCAAAAATTGTGAAGTGAATTAGCATTAAACTTGAATAATATTATTTTAAAATTAATAACATATAGATTTTTGTGAATTATCAATTAATTAATAAATAATAATAATAATTATCAATAATAATAAAAAATTCTAATAATAATAATAATAATAAATTAAAAAATTCTAAATTCTAAATTCTAAATTCTAAAATAATAAAATTATAAAATAAAAATATTTAATAAAAATAGTTTTAACGAAATTAAATAAATAAAGTATTTTTTATTAATATATATAGTGACAATTAACAATATCAAAATTTATTAATTAAACATAGTAAAATGTGAATTTTTCTTTTTATATAAAAGTTTTTAATTTTACCAATAAAAATAATTTTATTTTTATATTAAAATGAAGATAATATCTAGTAATTGACTTGAATCAACTCATTTTGACTTGAATCAAGTTGCGTCATAATTTTTCTGACTTGAAGAATACTTGAGTCAGAATATAAATCAAAATATAAGTTAATTTAAGTCAGTCACATTTTCTGAAATAGATTAATTAGCACATATTTCTTTTATAACTTATAAAAAAAATTGGTGAATAATCAGTTTTTGACTTGTTATTAAAATGTCTAATTATTTCTTTCTTTTTGCATATCTGGCAGATAAAGACTAAATCTACTTTTTTTTGATATTGTAATTTTTTGTATTGAATATTTTTCTTATTAGAACATGTAAATATAAGCATGTTTCTCTATTAGAATTCTAATTATAATGATAAAATGAATTAAATTATTATGAAAAGATAAAAATATTTTTTAGGTTAAAAGAAATTATAAATATTCATATTTATCTTTTTATAAGTCTTTTATTTATCTTTCAGTTTGATCATAATAAGTATAATACTAAAAAAAAATAAAAAATTAATATATTATTAATCAAAAGATAGATACAAATAAATTTTAATGTTATTAAAACTTGAATAACTAAAATTTGAGTATAATAATTTATCAATATCTTTAATAGATATTCATATATCATTTTTTTAATATTACATTTTTTATATAAGCTATTATAAATATAATTTGAGTCAAACTTGACTTGTGTTAAAGTAATTATTTGAATTAAAATATTATTAATTCAAGTTAGAAAAATTATAACTTGAGTTAAGTTTAATTTGAATCAACTTGAATCAACTTAAATATAGGTTTAATTACTAATATTTTAATATAGTGTCATCATTTGATATTTTAGCACCTGATATGAAATATATCTTATTATTTTAAGTATATTTCTATTGGATAGTTAGTAAATATATGATTTACAAATTACAATTTCTTTTTAGTTCATACTATTTATTTTATATTTTATATTATTTATTCTTATTTTATTTATTTTCAATATATTTTATATTCTTTTATTTTATTTTAAATATATTTCATATTATTGTAATATGAATTTTAGCATATTACATGATTTTTTATAGTTTATTTTAATTGGATAATTGATTTGTAAATATATTTATATTTATTTTATATTATTCGTATTTATTTCATACTATTTTTATAATATTTTATTCTATTTTTATTATATTTCATACTATTATCATTTTATTTCATACTATTTCATTCTATTTTCATATTATTTTATTTTATATTTATATTATTTTATTCTATTTCATTTTATTTTTATTTTTATATTATCTCATTCTATATTATTTATAATTCATATTAATTATATTTAATTTATATTATTATTAGTATGAAAAACATGTGTTAATTAATCTACATAATCAAATTTGATTATTATTAATGGTGAAATTTATGTAATATTAGAATGAGTAATATATAATCATCAAGTGAATAAATAATGTGCAATCATCAAGCAAGCACTTTTTGTAATCTTAATTTCAATCAAAAATAGCTTTAATATTTAAAAGTTAAATAATAATAATTTGTATAAATATAACATATATCATAGCTTGAAAAAATAATCTTCATATAGATTATAATCTTCTTATAGATTTTAATCTTTTTATCTTTTAATTTTCTTTGACAAAATCTTCTTAGAAGTGAATTGTATTATAAGTCTTGAGTTGGAGATTTTCAGTCAAGCATTAATTACCTTTTTCTTTATTATTTGTATTCTTTATTATTTAAAAGATTTCTTATCTATAATAAGTGATGTTATTTATACCTCTTATTATTATCCTATAAAGTTGATTAATATTATTTAGATTTATAATAAAAGAAAAAAATAATTTTATTAAAAATAAATCAATAAAAGAATATTACTTAACAATTAAATTATTTGAATTAAAAGAAGATTTCTGAACTCATTCTAGTAGTTCAACAAAATGAATATGTTATTATCTACCTTTAATAAATTAGTCTCTTTCAACTTTAATTATCTTAAATATATAAAAATTTTTAATAACTCTCTCACTTAATTGAAATACATGAAGAACATTTGATTTATATTTGAAAGTTAATAAACCAACAGAAACGATAAGAAATTTTTGGTGCTCTTTATGTAAAAAAAATCTTCAACAGCATTAAACTGTAGAAAAAAATTTTTAAAGCATTAAATATAATCAATCAGTAAACAAATTCTTTATGAATGAATCACTTAAACTAATAAATCAAATTGGATCCAATAAATCAACCAGTATTAAAATAAATCGATTATTTAAAGAATTAAGAGATGAAGTTGATTTAAAAGAAACTTTAATCAGAGAACAACTCAAGGAAATAAAATATCAAATAACTGAAATAATTGGTGAAACTTATTAAGAAAATACAATTACTAAATCAGTTAATTAACTTAGTGAATTACTAAAACAATATTCTTGTCAAAATAAACAAAAAATATAAGTATATGTATATCATCTATAACAAGATATTACAAACTTTTTAATACAAAGAAAAGCTTACTGAAGACAATAAAAATTTCAAGAACAACTAGTTGAACTCCAGAATTCAGAGAATTAAATTATAATTCAAAATGATCTACAAGTACAAATTATTGAAGAAAACCAAATTGAAGAAGAACTTCAACAACAAACTCTAATTCAACTCCAAATTCAGAAAATAATTTATTATCAACAATAGATAATTATTAATTCAATATCTTGATGATTAATTTAGATAATTTAGTTGATACAATTAATATTCAAATAGTTGTATCAGCACTCCCAAGAGAATTATCATTTACAAAGATAGTTAACTTTTATAATGATAATCAAGATCCAATTGGATGACTACAAGACTTTAAAAGTGCATATTAAGCAAATAATATAACTAATACAAAAAAGATAACAATTATTGGAGCTTATTTGAAAAGATCTGCTAGTACCTGATTAGCAAATAAGCATATAATAATAGCAAATTGATCTGGACAATGGAATTCAAATACTTCTAGTAATACAATTAATGAATGAGTATTATTTACTTATTAATTTAAATTATAAATTAGAATAGTTGAGAAAATATATGAGTGACAATAACAACTTAATCAAAAAAAACAATTATCAACTAAAAATATAAAATTATACTTATTTGCTAAAAGAGAATTATTATGCTGAATTGATCCAACAAATACTTATTCAGCTCACTTACAAGTAATATTATTATTGGAAGATCTAAAACCAGAAATCAAATTCTTTATCAACCCATTCAGACAATAACTTTAAATAATGCTATTCAAATAGCATAACTCTATGACTCTAGTTATAGATAAGTCAATCAGTTCAATAGTCAAACAATAACTACATCAAATTTATTAACATATTAGTTATATCAAATCAAACAATACAAAATTCATTGGCAAAACAAATAGAAGAACTAATTACAAAACTTAATCAATTAACAATAAAGAATAATGTTACAAGTTTGTTCACTAATCGTTAAATTAGCTTACAAAACCTGAACCTGGGTTGGGAGAAAGTAATAGACTGATAAAAATATATTAAAAGGAAAGAGGGGTATCTAAGGCCTATGCCAATTTCTACGGAAATTGTGTTTACTAAATAAAAGGAAAATAGTGTGGGAGAATTATGGGAGAGTAAAGGTCAAAAGGGGAGAGAGAGGAAAGCGATTTAAAGGAAAATAATAAAGAGAATAAAAGAATAAAGAAATAAAGGGGATTGAAATAATAACTTATACTTTTCATAAAAATAGTAATTAGTAATAACAATAACAAAGATTCTCGCACTTTGTTCTTCTCACTTAAGAGGAATTCCAAAATATTAAATTCAAATAACAAAAATTAAAATACTTAATACTCAATACAGCGATTTGTTC